TCTGTCTGAAGACAAAAATTGTTGAGGCAAAACACCCAAAAAGAAGGTTGTAAAAAAATGAATCCGCCTCAACAATATAGAACTGATCTACAGCCTTGTTGACGGCAGTTTCCTCACCCTTAATGCCGGAGGTAGTCGCGCCCACAAAAGGCTCATGCATGGAGGTGTCAGTGATCACCACTGTATCTCCAGCCGGCTTCTTGTTGTGGCCAATAGCGCCCTTCTGGGTGTTGCTGACGCCAAGAACCACCCGCAGCTCGGTCAGAACCAAGTCGTTGACCACTGCGGGCACCGTTTTGGTTTGGTACCCGTGGCAAGCCACTTGAATTTGGTACTGTCCGGCAGGCAACATCGCCCTGAAGTGCGCTGCATTCTTGGACACCTCAAACACATCCTCAGTTTCCAGCACTTTAACGGTGGCGTTGTAGAGCGGGTAGTTCTGGCTGCTCAACACCATCCCGCGGACGCCTGCAAAAGCTCATCAGCTTGGGTTCGACACTTTAGCTGATCGGGTACCTGTTCGGGTGGCGTTCAAAAGCGCCATAACGGGCGCCAGCATGTCCCTCCATATGTAGGGCAGGTTTTCCACTGCTGGATAGTCGCAACAGCTGACTTTCAGCGTGATCATCGGCGTGTAATATTCTTTGAACAGAAAATCTGTTATCACACTATCAGTTCCGCTCACTCTCTGAGGGCAGGACGGCGGCACTTTCAGGGCCTCCGTGTAGCTTTTGGCCAGTCTCTCATACTTCTTCACGTGGTCCTGAGTGTATGGTAGCCTGTAAACCGCCCAAAGAATGAAGCTGGTGACTCAAATCATCATTGACTATAAAAGCCGGGACACATCTATCCGATCCGACTCCGATCAGAGAACTGTTTTTTAAATTAATGAATTTTTTTTTAACTATCTGTTATTTTAGAAAAACTGATGATGGTGGAAAAATACACCGAAACGTATTTTAATTGATAAATAGAGACAATAAATGACTGAAACCCAGGAATTAATTTTGATTTGGAGTTGAAACACAGTCAGGATAGTATGTACAATTAATACTTGCGACGAATCATGTGCATTATTAATAATTGAGTTTGTTTTCTATCAGTAAAATTCTGTAAGCCCAATCAAAATATTTAAATATCTACACCTTACTGTAGATATTGTCCATTAAAAACCAAATGTATCACTGACGCAACCTAAAATGCGGACCGTTTTTCCACTGGCGGCTAAACGTAGGAATACGATCCCATTAATGCGCATGCGTTAACTGCAGATTTTAGCTGCTGATCAGCTGCGTGATTAACAGTGGACTGGGCTCTATCTATCTCACTCTTATTCTATGCTGTTGATGTTCATTTTTCGTATTTAAAATTCTCGGTATTTGAAATCTATTATTATGTATAGACATTAGGCATATCGCCCTTCCAAAATTGGTTCCTGTTTCTTCTGTAATTCGGCCTTCTCAGCATATGGCGTGCAAAGGCAACATCAAATCCCAAAGTTCCTGTTAAACAAGCGAGTTCTTCTAGTACTTTCATATTATTGATAAATGTTATTATACTGATGGCTTGTGCCTGGATTTCGTTTGATCAAAAATTCACTGTAGTACACGTTTCTGTGCTAAATGGTGTCTAAAATCTTAACTTTTTGAAGTGCATTTAAACTATATAAATATAAAAATACAAGCCTTGTTCTATGATTTAAACAGTCATAGGTATATTATATGCATATTCAATAACCACTTGATCGTCCAAGCTGTGAGCCTGAAGGCGATTGCGGATATGATGTGTAAAAACTTAATTGCGGCATAAACAACCCATTTTTATTTTTCTGAAGTAACGTAGAAAAGAATTTCGAACACTCTTGCAGTCTTTACTCACGAATTAAGGAGAATCGTAACCTCAATCAACAACTCACGAAAAGTGAAAATAAACAGCTGATCGCTTAGAGGCCGCGCATACCCATTAAAGGGATCGTATTCCTAGGTTTAGCCGCCAGTATTTTTCCTTCCGACAATCGGATAGCAAATACCCATCGAATAGCCAGCAAAATCGGAACATGATCGGATACAAAAACGGAGACGGATCGGGCAGGT